AAAAGAAAAGTTTCAGAAGAAAACAGAACATTTAATTTCAACTACATGTGCTAGTTTTGTGGCCGCTCAAGAAATAGTCAGGCACGGGAAGAGTTTTGTGGCTCCCGGTGTTTTCTTTTCTGTGGGAAATGGGTCTAAATGGCTCTTTGAGTGTTTATTTATTTATTTATTTATTTATTTGTTTGTTTTAATTTGTATACCGCCCTTCTCCAACAGGACTCAGGGTGGTGAACAGCCAGAATAAAATAGAACATACAAATTTTTTTTTAAAAAAAACAATTTAAAAATAATTAAATATTTTTGGCCGCAATTTAAAACAAACCCAATTAAAATCAATTCAAAATTAACCAAAACTATAGGGTCAAGCCAGCCCGGCTAGGTGAAATAAATAAGTTTTTAGGGCCCGACGAAAAGTCCGGAGGTCTGGTATCGTACGTATCTCTGGGGGGAGGTTGTTCCAGAGGGCGGGCGCCGCCACAGAGAAAGCTCTCCCCCTGGGGGTCGCCAGCCGACACTGTCTGGCGGACGGCACCCTGAGGAGGCCCTCTCTGTGCGAGCGTACTGGCCGGTGGGAGGCTATTGGTGGCAGAAGGCGGTCTCGTAAATACCCCGGCCCTAAGCCATGGAGCGCTTTAAAGGTGGTTACCAACACCTTGAAGCGCACCTGGAAGACCACTGGGAGCCAGTGCAGCTCGTGCAGGAGAGGTGTCACATGGGAGCGCCCTGTCGCTCCCATAATCCCCCACGCGGCCGCATTCTGGACCAGCTGGGGCCTCCGGGTGCACCCCAGGGGGAGCCCCATGTAGAGAGCATTGCAGCAGTCCAGGCGGAAGGTGACGAGTGCCTGAGTGACCGTGCGTAGGGAGTCCCGATCTCGAAAGGTTTAAGGTTGCAGACCCCTGAGTTAAGCCTTGTGCAACCTCAAATAATATATATTGAGGTTAGGGATCGGTAAATGGCCTTCTGTCCTTTCTTTAAACCGGGTTTTTCTGATCTGGCACCACAAGAAATTTTTTTAAAAAAAGAGGGTCTGTAGAGATTCTCAGTCATCCAGGTCACACGGTTGACCAAAGGTGCTTTTTCAGGAGGCAATTAGACTCATTTGTTGTTGTTGTTTCTTTCGAAGACGTTTCGCTTCTCCTCCAAGAAGCTTCTTCAGCTCTGACTGGATGGTGGGGGAACGGAAGGATTGATACTCCTTGCAGACAGCTGGTCATTTGCATCCTTTTTAGAGAGTCGTTGAGGCCACTTGGGAGGTTTATCTGTATATCTCTGGATGACTGAGAATCTCTACCGACTTTTAGCTATACCATTTGGGATGAACGCCTTCGGAATGGGGTGGGAGTAGGAATGGATTTCCAGAGGGGGGAAAAAATTGCAGACTGCAGGAACCATTTGCAGGGGTGGGTTCTAAATTTTTTTTACTACCGGTTCTGTGGGCATGGCTTATTTTGTGGGTGTGGCTTGGAGGTCATGTGTCTAGGTGGGCGTGGCTAGCTGGTCAGAGTCATTTCTGGAAGGTCCTCGCACTTACGACCCGACTCATTTGTTTGCTTTTAACACTGATCAGCTGTAGGGCGGCCCTTTGAAGCCCCGCGGCAAGAGTTTAAACAGTTTTTTTCCCTCTAGTCATCAGCTGGGACTCAGGAGGCGGCAATAGATTGGGGGTGGGACCAAATAAAAGGTAAGAATAATGTGGGGTGGGGGGGAGGGCGGGGGGGAGAACTGCTTCGGTGACGTCATATCGTCACTGCTACCGGCTCAGCCGAACCGGACCGAACCAGGAGGAACCCACCACTGTACTCAGGTGACCCTGAGGACACCGATAAATCTCCAAGCAGCCTCAACGACCCTCTAAAAGGATGCAAATGACCAGCTTTTCTGGAAGGAATATCAATCCTTCCGTTCCCCACCGTCCAGTCAGAGCTGAAGAAGCTTCTTGGATGAGAAGCGAAACATCTTCAAAAGAAAAAACAAGAAAGTCCAGTTGCCTCATGAAAAAGCACCTTTGGGATAAAAAAGACGGGACAAAAGGCATTGAAGATACCTGTTCGGAAGGAGAAGAGACCCACCGCGATGGACATTTGCATTGTTCCATTGTTGAATGTTGGGAGATGTTGCTGCTGAGGTCCAGAGCCTAAAGGAACAGCAAATACAGGTAGTCCTCGACTTACAATGGTTCGTTGAGTGACCATTCGAAGTTACAACGGCACTGAAAAAAAGGGGCTTATGACCGTTTTTCACACTTACGACCGTTGCAGAATCCCCAGGGTTGCGCAACTTACATTCGGACCACTGCCTCACATTTATGACGGTTGCAGTGTCACAGTTCTGACAAGCAGAGTCCATGGGGGAAGCCGGATTCGCTTCACGACCGTGTTACTCACTTAATAACTGCGGCGATTCACTGAGCAACTGTGGTGAGAACGGTTGTAAAACGGGGCCAAACTCACTTAACAGTTGTCTCACTGAGCAACGGAAATTTTCGGCTCCCTTGTGGTCATACGTTGAGGACTATCTAAGTTTATTTGAACGACATTTCACACCAACGGGCAAAAGCAAATGTTATGTTGCGTATGAACTTCTAAAGTCAGAGTTCCTAAATTGGTAGCAAGAAAAGATGGCATTTTCTGCCTCAGCCATAATTCGCACCAGTCATTCTCATCATATCCCATTAACAAAAATGGTCTCAACTTCTGGAAATATAAGATTCCTTTCCTTTCCTTCTTTCTTTTCTTTCTTTCTTTTCCTCCTTTCCTTTCCTTCCTTTCCTTTCCTTTTTTCCTTTCCTTTCTTTTCCTTCCTTTCCTTTTCTTCTTTCCTTTCTGCCTTTCCTTTCCTTCTTCCCTTCCCTTTCCCCTCTCCTCCTCCTCTCTTTTTTATCTCTTTTCCTTTCCCTCTCCTTTCCTTTCTCCCCTCTCCTTCTTCCTCCCCTTCTCCCTTCTCTTCTCTGCTCTCCTTCCTCCTCCTCTCCTCTCCTCTTCTTTTTTATCTCTTTTCCTTTCCCTCTCCTTTCCTTTCTCTCCTCTCCTCCTCCTCCCCTTCCCCTTCTCTTCCTCTGCTCTCCTCCTCTCCTCCTCTTCTCCTTTTATCTTTTCCTTTCCCTCTCCTTTCCTTTCTCTCCTCTCCTCCTTCCTCCCCTTCTCCCTTCTCCTCCTCTGCTCTCCTTCCTCCTCCTCGCCTTTCCTCTTTTTTATCTTTTCCTTTCCCTCTCCTTTCCTTTCTCTCCTCTCCTTCCTCCTCCCCTTCTCCCTTCTCCTCCTCTGCTCCCCTTCCTCCTCTTCTCTTCTCCTCTCTTCTTTTTTATCTCTTTTCCTTTCCCTCTCCCTCCTTTCTCTCCTCTCCTCCTTCCTCCCCTTCTCCCTTCTCCTCCTCTGCTCTCCTTCCTCTCCTCCTCGCCTTTCCTCTTTTTTATCTCTTTTCCTTTCCCTCTCCTTTCCTTTCTCTCCTCTCCTTCCTCCTCCCCTTCTCCCTTCTCTTCCTCTGCTCTCCTTCCTCTTCTCCTCTCCTCCTTTTTTATCTTTTCCTTTCCCTTTCCTTTCTCTCCTCTCCTCCTTCCTCCCCTTCTCCCTTCTCCTCCTCTGCTCTCCTTCCTCCTCCTCGCCTTTCCTCTTTTTTTATCTCTTTTCCTTTCCCTCTCCTTTCCTTTCTCTCCTCTCCTCCTTCCTCCCCTTTTCCCTTCTCCTCCCCTGCTCTCCTTCCTCCTCCTCTCCTCCCCTCTTTTTTATCTTTTCCTTTCCCTCTCCCTTCCTTTCTCTCCTCTCCTCCTTCCTCTCCTTCTCCCTTCTCCTCCTCTGCTCTCCTTCCTCCTCCTCTCCTCTCTTCTTTTTTGATTTTTTAAAAAATTTGAATTGAGGAGAAACTTCCTAACAAGTGAGGACAATTAATCAGTGGAATGGCTTTGCCTTCAGAAGTTGTGGGTGCTTCATCACTGGAGGTTTTTAAGAAGAGACTGGACAGACACTTGTCTGAAATGGTATATGGCCGTGATGGCGAACCTATGACACGAAGAGCCTTCTCTGCTGGCACGCGCGCCGTCGCCTCAGGTCAGATCTCTGTGGAGTTTCTTTCGTGAGCTTTTGTTTCCCTGCAAACGACGAAACAGAAGCTCCCGAAAGAAAAAGATCTTACCTCTTGCCACGCTGCCGGTGTTGGGATGCCATGCCTCCCTCTGGTCTTCGGGTCTCTGCTGCACAAACCTTTCAGTTTGGGCATGCGTGCGCGTGCAGTTTGGGCACTCAGTGTCTAAAAGGTTCACCATCACTGGTATAGGGTCTCCTGCTTGAGCAGAGGGGGGTGGACTAGAAGACCTCTAAGGTCCCTTCCAGTTCTATTCTGATTTTCCTCTCCTTTTCTTTCCTTTCCTTTCTCTACTTTTCCTTTTGCTCTTTCCTTTCCCTCTCCTCTCCTCTTCCTCCTCCTCTCTTCCTCCTCCTTCTCCCTCCCCCTTCCTTCTCCTCTCCTCTCCTCCTCCTTTCTTCCTCTTCCTCCTCCTCCTCCCTCCTCCTTTCCTCTCCTCTCCTCCTCCCTCCTCCTTCCTTCTCCTCTCCTCCTCCTCCTCCTTTCTTCCTCCTCCTCCTCCTCCTCCTCCCTCCTCCTTTCCTCTCCTCTCCCCCTCCCTCCTCCTCTTCCTCTCTCCTCTCCCCCGCTAAGAACGCAGCTAACGGGCGAGGAACAGGCAAACACGCAAGACAGGACATTTAAATGGCTATTCCAGCTCCCACCATTGACAAAATGGCGGAAGAAGATGAGTTAGCGCTCCTTCCACTGATTTTCCCCAAGAAAGACCCCCTCCCGTTTCTCCAACCCGCCGCCTCCATCCGTAACTCCACCCCAGTGCAATTTCACCCTGGAAACCATCATCTCAGCGATATGAAGAACTGCATCAGACACCTCCTCTCCGTTGTAGGTGTCCTACCCCTCCCCCTCACCCCCAACTCAAGAAAGAACAAGGAGTGAACGATGGAGGCCGGAATGATGGAGCGTGTGCAAATGGCGGATGAAAGAAAAATAACCACAATTTTATGGCCATCACGAAACGAAAGGCGTCTGTTTTGGGCGTGGTAAAACAGCGGCAAGCGATATCCCGATTTTCTTCCAGGCGTTCAGCGGAGGAATTCTCTTCCATTAACTTCCCGCCTCTTGCAGTGTTTTTTTTTTTTTTTCCTCCTTTCCCTTCGGAGCATTTCTTTTAAAAAGTGTGCACATTTCTTTGACGCATGGATGTTTGCAACTTTCCCGAGCGACCTCCCGTTTCCCCCTTTGAAATGTGTTCCCCTGGTGTGACGTCTCATGCACGCCTCCTGAATGTTGTCGAGAGAGCTGCGGTTTCTAATCGGCGGATGGCCAAATTCATGTTCTGAATCTTCTCGCCGGAGAATTCTCTCACGTCTGGCTGAGCTATGTTTAAGAAGGCAGCTTTTTCACTCGTTCACTCGCTCATTCATTCGCTCATTCATTCATTCACTCATTCTTGTTTCTCTTCATCCCAGGATTCTTTCTTTCTTTCTTTCTCAGGCTTCTCCTCCATTAATGTTGATGTACAAAAGCTGTTAACTGTTTGTGCTCATTCTAGTGAAGATTCACTCAACAAAACTGCAAAGCAAAAAAAACAGACGGAGAGAAAACAGGGTTAGCACTCAAGAAACTCAACTTTGCATTTTGAGGTCAAACATCAAGGGTGAAATGATAACAGATAACAGATTAACAGAGTTGGAAGGGCCGTGATGGCAAACCTATGGCACGGGTGCCACAAGTGGCACATGGAGCCATATCGGTGGGCACACGAGCTCAGCTCCAGCACGTATGCGTGCGCTGGCCAGTTTGATTTTCGGGCCTTCTGGGCCCACCAGAAGTCAGGAAACACGCTGTTTCCAGCCTCCAGAGGGCCTCTAGGAAGGGTGGGGAAGGCTGTTTTTGCCCTCCCCAGGCTCCTAGAAAGGCTCTGGAGCCTCGGGAGAGTGAAAAATGGACCTACTGAGCCCATCGTGCCATCATGTGCCAAAATCAGGGGGAGCATGAGGGGGGGTGGGGCGCATAGAATTATGGATGTGGGCACACGTCCGTCCCCCCCGCCGCTTTTGGCACGCAATGGCAAAAAGGTTAGCCATCACTGTTATAGGACATGTAGTCCAACCCCCCGTTCAAGCAGGGGGGTTGGACATGTAGTCCAACCCCCCGTTCATCACCTATACCAGTGATGGCTAACCTTTTCGCCGTTGTGTGCCAAAAGTGGGGGGAGCACGGAGCCCACACCCATAATTCAATGCGCCCTCCGTGCATGCGTGTGCGACCCCCCCGTGCTTCCCCTGCTTTTAGCATGCGATGGCACGGTGGGCCCGGTAGGTCTGTTTTTTCGCCCTCCCCAGGCTCCAGAGGCTTTCTTGGAGCCTGGGGAGGGCAAAAACAGCCTTCCCCACCCCCCAGGAGGCCCTCCAGAGGCCAGAAACAGCCCATTTGCTGATTTCCGGTGGGAACAGAAGGCCCATTTTTCGCTCTCCCCAGACTCCAGAAGCTTTCTAGGAGCCTGGGGAGGGCGAAAATGGTCTCCCCCCCCCGGAGGGCCTCCAGAGGCCGGAAACAGCCCATTTGCTGACTTCCGGTAGGCCTGGAAGGCCTGAAAATCAGCTGGCTGGCGTGCGCCAGACCTGAGCTAGGCAACGCTCGTGTGCCCACCGATACGATTCCGCGTGCCACAGGTTCGCCATCACAGCCCTCTACCATTTCTGACAAACGGCAGTCCAATCTTTTCTTGAAAGTCTCAAGTGATGAAGCTCTCACAACTTCCGAAGGCAACTTCTGTTCCATGGATTGATTGTTCTCACTGCCAGAAAGTTCCTTCTCATTTCTTATTTATTTCTTATTTTATTATTCAAACTTCTATACCACCCTTCGCCTTTTGGACTCAGGGCGGTGAACAGCCAAAATAAAAACATTTATACATAAAGTTAAAAATAGATTTAAAATAATTAAATAAATTTGGCTTGTAATTTAAAACTTATCAATTTAAAATACGTATCAAATTTTAAAACCAACCATTTCTAGGTTGAATCTCTCTTTGGTCAGTTTCCATCAGGCCGGTTCACCCGAACTGGTAGTAAAAATGCTACTGATTCTCCCGAACCGGTAGTAAAAAAATGCTTTAAAAAGTAAAAAAAAAAAAAACTTCCGAGAATCGCATGTCAGAGCTGATCATCGAAACTTTTTTTTCTTTTTTAAAGCATTTTTTTTACTACCGGTTCGGGCGAATAGGTAGTAAAAAAAATGCTTTAAAAAAGTTTAAAAAATAAATACATTTTAAAAAGTAAAAAAAAAAAGTTTCTGACGATCAGCTGTGACAATCAGCTGTGCCACGCGATCGTTGGAACTTTTCTTTTTAACTTTTTAAAGCATTTTTTTTTTACTACCTATTACCCGAACCGGTATTTTTGTGTAAAATGAGATTGTTTGTTTTTGAGCTCTCTGTGGCTCTGTGAGGTTCCTGCTTGTTGCAGGGGCCATTTTGTATGAAGTCCAGCTGCTTTTGCATTGTGTGTGAGTCAGTTGTGTAGCTTTTGTGTTATTTTTGTGTAAAGTGTGATAGCTGGTTTTCCTGGTCACATGCCCACCAAGCCACGCCCACCCAGTCACATGCCCACCAAGCCACGCCCACCAAGCCACGCCCACAGAACCGGTAGGGAAAATTTTTTGAATTTCACCACTGTCAAACATGTTTCTGGAACATAATGCAAATTCTCTTTCGGCTTTAGGTAATACATTGGATAAATGGAGGTTTTCCTGTATTTTTAGAACTGTTTTCTTTTCTTCTTTGCATTTTATATAATAAAATAAAAATGATAAATGGAGGAGGGGAGAACTGATTTCTTCCTCTCTTCCATCCGTCCTGCTCCAAAGAAGAAAGGAGAATTAACAGGTAGTCCTGGACTTACGACTGCAATCAAGCCCCAAATTTCTGCGGCTAAGTGAGACACGGGTTAAGTGAGTTTTGCTCCATTTTACGACCTTTCTCATCATGTTTGTTAAGCGAATCACTGCAGTTCTTAAATGAGGAGCATGGTTGTTAAATGAATTTGGTCTTCCCTGTTGATTTTGCTCGTCAGAAGGTCACAAAAGGGGATCACGTGACCCCCCCAGGGGACACTGCGACTGTCATTAATGTGAGTCAGTTGTCAAGCATCCGAAATGTAAATCACGTGACCCTGGGGAATGCGGCCACGGTCGTAAGTGTGAAAAATGGTCAGAGGTCATTTTTTTGAACTTTGAACGGTCACTAAATGACAAGCAAAGTCAATGGGGAAGCCAGATTCACTTAACAACTGTTCTGCCCCAGCTATGGACCCCAAAGAACGCAGCACACACAAAGTCTGTACAAACCTTAGTTTACTAAATTAAACCAGTCTTTTTCAAACAAAGGCTGTTAATTAACTTTCTTAACAGCCTACAAGAATCCAAAGAATAAATAATCGTAATCTTACTATAGTTGGCAGAAAGCCCAGAAGCAATTTGCAGGAAACTGCAAATAAGAGAACTAAGATCAGGACGTGAAGGAGAGTGAACGAAGTTGTTCCCTGCAAATTGCCTCAGTCGTCGTCCGTCCTTAAATAGGCTAAGGGAGTGGCCAATTAGCCCCAAGCCTTACTCTCAAGGAGACCTCCTCCTGAGGAGCCACTCCTGCCTTTTGGCAGCTCTGCACACCCGTGCATCGAGAAGAGGCTCCTCCTCTTCGTCCTCTTCACTTAAAGGAGCTTCTGGAGGTTCTGAAGGCCCTGGCTGAATCTCTGCCTCTGGCACCACATCTTCTCCAGCCTCCTCATTGTCTGACTCAAGTGCCAGCTGCACAGGCTACTGGCGCAGCACCACACCAGCCTCCTCGCTGTCGGAATCAGCTACTAGCTGCACAGGCCACTGATGGGCCACAACAACCACTGTGTTGCTAACTTAACCACATTCACTTCGCAGCTCCGGCAAGAAAGCTCATAAAATGGGGGGCCAAGCTCACTTAACAAATGTCTCATTTAGCAGCAGAAATTTTGAGCTCCGTCATGGTTGTAAGTGGAGGACTTTCTGCAGTAACCGGGGGTGGGGGGGGAATGTTCCTGATTTTCCTCCTTGACCAGTACCGCCTTCTATTTTTACAACAGCAAAAGATTACATTAGCATTTATTTGCTAAAAATAAGCATCATTCATATGTAGTTCATTACAGAGCGCACGGCATTAAAATCTTAATTTGCTGCTCCCAGTTAAGAAGAAGGTGTTTTAAAAGGCAAATTGTTTTATGCAAAGAATTCACTTGCCGTAGTCACCCTGCAATGTTGCAGTTGCTACATCAACCGCCCCATGTTTTCAAGGGCGTTATTAAGATTTTTCAGTGAACCGGCGAATTAATCAAACAGAATAGAGCTGGGAGGAACCTTGGACGTCTTCTAGTCCAACCCACTTCTCAATCAGGAGACTCTATACCTGTGATGGCGAACCTTTGGCACGCGTGCCACAGGTGGCATGCGTAGCCATATCAGTGGGCACGTGAGCTCAGCTCCAGCGTGCTTTTCGGGTCTTCCAGTCCCACCGGAAGTTGGCAAATGGGCCGTTTCTGGCCTCTGGAGGGCCTCTTAGGGTGGGGGGAAGGCTATTTTCATCCTCCCCAGACTCCTAGAGAGGCTCTGGAGTCAGGTGAGAGAGAAAAACGGGCCTACCGGGCCATCGCGTGATAGGAGCGCAGCGGAGCGGAGTGGGTTGCATGGGCATACGCGGGAGTGGGGCACATAGAATTATGGGTGTGGGCATGTGCGCACGTGACCCCGCCCTCCTGGCACGTGATGGCAAAAAAGTTAGCCATCACTGCCTTATACCATTCTAGACAAGTGGTGTCCAGTCTCTTCTTAAAAACCTCCAGTGATGAACAGAGGTGGGATTCACATACTGTCAAACAACACAGCAATTCGCTCGCTCGCGCGCACCATCCATGCATGCATGTGGCATCAAAAACACAGTGATATTGGACAGGATTGCGCCCTGGCAGGTCTACCCGCAGGTCACCACTACCGGTTCGCCTGAACTGGTCCGAACCGGCTGAATACCACCTCTGGTGATGAAGCACCTACAACTTCTGGTGGCAAGCAGTTCCACTGGTTAATTGTCCTCACGGTTAGGAATTTTCTCCTTAATTCCAGGTTGCTTCTCTCCTTGACTAGTTTCCATCCAATGTTTCTCCCCTTGCCTTCTGGTGCTTTGGAAAATAAGTTGGCCCCCTCCTCTTTGTGGCAACCTCTCAAATATTGGAAGACTGCTATCATGTCACCCCTAGTCCTTCTTTTCTCTAGACTGACCAGACCCAATTCTCGCAACCGTTCTTCGTATATTTTTGTCTCCAGGATCTTAAACATCTCTTCTTTGCACTTTTTCCAAAGTCTCAACAGCCTTTTTTGTAATGCAGTGACCAAAACTCCATGCAGAATTCCAAGTGTGGCCTTACGAAGGATTTACAAAGCGGTACTGATACTTCTTGATGAATGTATCTTTTATTTTATGTACACTGAGAGCGTATGCACCAAGACAAATTCCTTGGGTGTCCAATCACACTAGACCAATAAAAATT